TTCAGCTGTCACTGAAGTCATAATTATGGATGATTTTAATTTCAGGCATATAGATTGGGAAATTCTTGAGTCAAACCATGAGGGAGAAAGGTTTTAGAAATGTTCGGGATGGCTTTCTTCACCAGTTAGTCAAAGAGCCAACTAGAAACAATGCTATTTTAGACTTATTGTTAACTTCAAATACAGAAATGATTAAAAGGGTAGAAATTGGGGAACATCTGGGTGCAAGTGATCATTGCTCTATTAGGTTCAGAGTTTTGCTGCATCTGGAGATAAGGAATAATGATATTTTGGTTACAAATTTTGAAGGGATGTGACAAGAATTATCTGTTGTGAATTGGGCAGCTGAGTTATTTGGAGGCACTGATCAGATGTGGAAAATGTTTAAATATGCAAGGTAAACATATTCCTTATAGAAAGAAAAGGGTAGCTACAAGTAAAAACCAGGTTGGCTCACAAAGAGTTTAGGAAATAAAATTAAAGAAAAGAATCATAAATTTAAGAAATTTAAATTGACTGGTATGACAGGAGGTTTAGAAGATTATAAAAGTTCAAGAAAGTTGGTGAAAGAGGAAATTAGGACATCAAAATAGGTGTATAAGAAAAGGTTGACTCAAAATGTAAAAATTAACAGTAAGGATTTCTTTAAATACGTTAAGGATAAACAGGAATGTTGGGATGGGGATAGGACCCTTAAGGGATGATAAAGGAAGGCTAGTATCTGATGATTATGAGATGGATGGGTTATTAAATTTTGTTTTTTTCTTCAGTTTTTGCTAATGAAGATTTAAGCAGTATTCCACATCTTGATCAGTTGATAAATGAAAAGAGATAAAACAAGATGACTGCATTAATTCTGACCTAGTTAAGAAAAAATTAGGAAGTTTAGAAATTATAAGGCTCCTGGGCCATATAATATTTTCTCAAGGGTTTTGAAGGAGGTTAAAGATTGGATATGTGAGCCACTTACTACTATTTTTGTTAGTACTTGAATAGTGGGTAGGTACCAGAGGATTGGAAGTTAGCTAATGTAACTCCTCTTCAAGGAAAGTGATAAAAAGTGTCCCAGTAATTATAGACCCATTAGTCTCGCATCAGTTTGTGGAGAAAAGTTTTGGAAAGTCTGATAAAAGATGCTTTGCAAAGTCATTTAACAAAGTTTAGAATTTTATTGGATAGTCAACATGGTTTCACTAAGGGGAATTCTTGCATTACAAATCTTTTAACATTCTTTGAAAAGGTTACTTCTTATGTAGATGAGGGTAAGGATGTAGATTTGGTGTATCTTGATTTTCAGAAAGCATTTGACAAGGTGCCACATAAAAGGCTTGTTAAAAAAATTAGCTCTATAGGTGCGGGGGATAAGTTAGCAAATTGGATAGAAGAGTGGCTGGATGGAAGAAAACAAAGGGTTGTTACAAATGGAGTTAAGTCAAATTGGATTAATATCACAAGTGGGGTACCTCAGGGCTCAGTCTTAGGACCTTTGCTCTTTTTGATTTACATTAGTGACATAGATAAAGGGATAGTCAATAAATTACTTAAATTTGCAGATGATATTAAGGTTGTGGGTGTTGCTAGCTGTGAAGAGGATGCTGCAGATTTACAAAAGGATTTAGTGAGTTGGGCAAATAACTGGTAGATGGGTTTTAATTATAATAAATGCAAAATAATGCATGTAGGTTATCATAATTTGAATTCTAAGTATAATTTGGATGGGAATAATCTTAATAGTGTTAGGAAGGAAAGGGATCTTGGTGTAATAGTCAATCAGTCTCTAAAGCCATCAAAGCAGTGTGCTGTTGCTAGTGGTACGACAAATAGGATTTTAGATTGTATCTATAGAAATATTGAATACAAGTCTAAAGAGGTTATACTTTCATTGTAAAAGTC